TACAGAGTCAGCCTTTTGCCCCCAACCATCTGGGTCCTCGTTTTACCCACCTGGGAAGGATGGAAGGCTGAGTCAACCTTGAGACTGGAGAGATCTGAATTGCCAAATTTCAGGCAGTCGGCAGTCAGTAGAAGTAGCCTGCAGTACTGCACTCTAACCACTGCGCCACCGTGGCTCATATCAGACCATTCCAGCGCAGTATCTCTTCATCCTCTCTGCCAAGGTCTTTCCCACATGCATTCCGTACAAGTCCTACAAGAGCTTTAACCTAGGTTACAAAACATCCACGCCCAAGGAACAAATAAAAATCCAGCCCCGTTTCAACTGCAATCTTGCTCTGCCCAAACTCCCAAAGCAAATTTAATGGTTAAGCTTTTTCACTGAAAGTTTCTTCACTCTAATAAGCCTCTTGATATTTGGGTTGTCTTTAGCCAACCTGGTAGGAGAATAAATTATTATCATCATCATTCACACGCAATTACTTGTATGCACTGTGAATTATGTGAATTATGTAGACCAGGCAAAGGCAGAAGAACTGGAGACTAGGCTGCTCTGTTGGAAGGGAAACAAGTAGGGGTCCCTGTAAGATGTTGTCTGTCTGTCTGTCTGTCTGTCTATCTACCCACCTACCTACCTATTTAGCTAGCTAGCTACCTACCTATTAATCATCTATCTATCTATCCTCTATCCATCCATCCATCCATCCACCATCTATCTAGCCATCCATCCATCCATCCATCATCTGTCTCCAAAATTTATTAGCTGCCTATCTAACTATCAGGCAACTTTGGGTGGCATTATGAAGCATCACTATATAATATTATATACAGCACTTCACTATAAATATGGCTTGCATTTTGCACCTGAGTTCTTAGCTCTTGAAAAAAACTTGGGTTATTAAAGACCTGTGCCCTTGAATCACCACCCACAAAACCTATAGCATTAGATAATTAAGAGTCGTGGTGGCATGGTGGTTAGAATGCAGTATTGCAGGCTAATTCTGCCTACTGCCAGCTGTTTGATCCCAACTTGCTCAAAGTCGAGTCACCTCCTTCTGAGATGGGTAAAATGAGGACCCAGATTGTCAAGGCAATATGGTGACATTGTAAACTGTCCAAAGAATGCTGCAAAGCTCTATGGGGGCAAGTATATAAATCTTCTAAGCGCTCTTGCTAACTGCTCTGCACGAAGAACCTCCAGTCGCTTACTTATTGTAGGTAGCTTTGATATGAACGATTGGGATTTCTTCAAACTTCTTTCCATCCCACCGCAAGGAACTTTCTTCTCCCAGCACTGGAGGGAAATAGCTGAAAATAAAAAGAGAGAAGATAGACACACCAGCCAGTTCAACAGCTTAGTCCCCCCCCCCCCCCACCACCAGCTCCCCATTCCATTATTCAAGAGGTGTAAGGATTATTTCATCAGATTATCAATGGGCATATTTGTTCAAAGGTGAGTGGTTGTGGTGGCTTAGAGGTGGAGCTCTCACCTCACAATCGGAAGGCTGTGAATTCGATCCCAGGTAATGGCAGATATTTCTCTCTCTAGACACAATGAGAATATATCTGCTGAATGTAACTCTGCATTAACAACAGGAAGGGCATCCGGCCAGGAAACACTCAACTCCATTCAGTTTCCCAGACTCCATCCAGCAAGGGATTATGGGCTCATTAAAAGATGATTATAGTTGTTCAAAGATTCCCACACAATAGGATTGTACCGATATTCAATTCCCCCCTCTATAATCTGCATTTCACCTGCACTGGAACACACTAAGCCATAAACCATTACTCATAAACTCAAAGCCAGTCAGTTTCACACAATACAGTATGCCAACATCAAATAAAGAGCATTATAAGGTAAAGGTTCCCCTCGCACATATGTGCTAGTCGTTCCCAACTCTAGGGGGCGGTGCTTCTCTCCGTTTCAAAGCCAAAGAGCCTGCACTTTCCGAAGACGTCTCTGTGGTTATGTGGCCGGCATGACTAAACGCCAAAGGTGCATGGAATGCTGTTTTCTTCCCACCAAAGGTGGTTCCTATTTTTCTACTTGCATTTTTACATGCTTTCAAACTGCTAGGTTGGCAGAAGTTGGGACAACTAACAGGAGCTCACTCCATTACGCAGCACTAGGGATTCAAACTGCCAAACTTTCAGATCGACAAGATCGGCGTCTTAGCCACTGAGCCACCGCATCCCAACAAAGAGCATTATAGTGCAGCGCAATATATACTCAGTTTATATAAAGCCAACTAGACATCATCTCATTCTGGCGCAAAGTGCTCAAGAGGGAGAGAGTGATTTTTTTTAATTAAAAAAAAATTGAAGGGCCTCTTCCATCTCCTGAAATTTGACTGACATCCTTTTGATGCAGCTCTCCTCCAAACTCAAATCATTAAAAATATGAATCAATAAGCCCTCGAGGCTTTTAGAAACACAGTGAAAACCTGGCTGTTCCATTAAGCTGATGGGTTGGATTGTTTTGGCTGCCTCTTGGGTCATGCAATTGGGCTTTTCATTTGATGCTCTTCACGTTTTTACTTGTGATGTTTGAAACATGCTCTAGAAGTTGCTTTTAAATATCTTGTAGAGTTTTAGTCCCAATTAAAAGTTGAGAGTTCTATATTGATCAGCCTAAAAGCTCTAAAAATAAAGAATCAGGTGATCACTATAGGGGCAAAAATCATAATTCTATGATGGCAAAAATCATAAGTAAATTACAGAAAAATTCAATATTTTGAAAACTTGAAAAACCAAAATAATATGAATTATAATTCTATGATGGCAAATCATAAATTATAATTCTATGATGGCAAAAATAAGTAAATTTCAGAAAAAAATCAATGTTTTCAAACACAAAAAATGATGAGTTCCGTTTCTGCATTGGTAAAATTCCTTGAAGCAACCTAACTTTTACACCTTCACAAACTCTCCAATGCTTGATGTAATCCCATGCAAACATGGTTATTTTTTTCTGCTTGTTTCTTTCCTGGACATTTTTGATGGTTAAAAAAAAAAAACTTGCAAATATGCAAGAAAACAATGAGACAAACTAATATCTTGCTAAAGGATTCCTTAGAATGCAACTTTTGACAAACGCATTCTGGTTTGAAATCCCAGAGGTGCTTTTTCTGGAGGCAACTGTACTTCCTTGTTTTTTTTCTTCTGAAGACGTTTCGCTTCTCACCCAAGAAGCTTCTTCAGCTCTGACAGGATGGTGGGAACTGGTTTTGAAGTGTTACATTTCACAATTTGTCTCTTTCCTGCTCCCCACTTCCAAAATACCGCTAGGTGAAATACCCTATTTACAAAATGCATTGCAATTATGCACACCGTATTTTTTTCCTACAAATAAGCAGTTGCCTGCATCCCGGAAAGTGCAACGTTAACTCACCTGAAGCCCTTTGACTGTGTGGAATCTAGCTCTTTGTCTGTTGCTGAGTCTGTGTTTTGCAGTAATGTTTGAAATCTCTGGACGCCTGTCTGTATACTCCGAGAAAAAGTGATGCTGGAGCAGTCACAAAGAAGGAAAAACAAGAGATCCAAATTTAAGAACAGCATGTTGACGAACGAGTGCAGAATTCCTATGAACTGCCCAGGCTGGCCCACTGCTTCCAGCTGCTGAGAGGATAATTTTATAAGATTTGACCTTCCCGATGTGGGACTCTAGCGCACCCAAGCTACCTGGGCAGTGTTAACGGATGGCTGCTTACCTCCATGATTTCCCCTTTCTGCTAGAACTAACCTTTGTGCCGGTTCAGTTAAGGTTTTCCACAGAAAAAACACAAAAGTTAAACTATTTCATTAAGCACAATCACAGTAATTCAACAAAACGTTTTGTCAACCCATCCAATAAAACAAACCACAGGGAAAGGAGTAAGAAACTGGTGCATACATTGGTATCCTGTCAAATACCTTTTCTAATGCTTAAAAGTTTTTTGGGAGGGGGGAGGAACCCTGTTTTTTTGGGGGTCACCTGGCTGATGCCTGGTGTGATTTCTCAATTTCTCTTCTTTCGAGGCAGCAAATGGGGATTCAAAGCTCCATCCTCAACAGCCAGCCCTTGCAACTGGCCTGGGATTAGAGAATCCACGATTCCCAGGAAGCATGGAGATTGCAGCCAAGAGTAGCAGACTGTCAAAGGCTTCCTGGAGTCTTTCCCCCCCAAAGCGGTCCTCGCCCCAGAGATAAAAAGAGTGGGATTAAGACCGTGCGCGTGTGTGTGTGTGTCAGGATGATGGGAACTGTAGTTCCCCAACTCCTTTGCAAACACTTGGGACAAGTCAAATGCGTGCAATGCAAATGCAAATGCATGCAATGCACAGATCATCCTGGTCTTCTGGGAGCCTCAATCAACCTAAGATCACCGGTGCATGGAGGTTAAAGGAGGGAAGGCAGAAACGCACCAGGGAGGCTGGATCTGTTGGGTTTCTGCCTTCCTCCGCTTCAAAGCGGGAACTCGACCTTTGCAGCCCTAGAAGGCGTACCGACCTACCCCGCTTCTTCCCTCCTTACCCCGAGCCGCCCCCCAAGAGCCCCCGCCGGGCGATCGCCAGCGCAGCCAGCATGGTGCTTTTTTTTTTCCGGGACTCCGAGGCTTCCGAGGGGGGAAAAGGGGCGGAGTCTCCACCGCCGCCGGTCAAATCTCGCGATGCGTGGCTGAGAGGGGAGGAAAAGAAAAACATGGCGGCGCGCAGTTGGCGAGCCTTCAATGGCCGCGACCTGGCATGGCAGCATCCGTACAGGCGCTTGGGGCCTAATTCCCTTCGCTTCTCTCGACGAGTCAAGCGGGACGGAGGGGAAGTTTTTAACCAGATTTAGGGCCGCCGAGAAGCTTTGCACGGTCTGGCGGCGGCGCGTGTGTGGGTGGGTTATAGTTGTGTCCCCGAGCATGAAAGGTCTTTATTCATCGCCTTTATGGAGATAAATATATAATGACGCAGAAACTCATCCTCTGCTAAACATCTGAGTTCATGGTCTGAATACAAGCTTTTCTCTACCTCTATCTGAAAAGAAAACAAGTTGCAAAGTTGTAGAAGCTAGCTTGCTTGTACACACATCCTAGAATAATATTTACAAATCTGGATCAATCCAAAATCATTCATTCACTTATAGTACAGCCTGTCATGAGATCCTAGTTCAGTAAATCCCAATTAAATGAAGAATGGCTTAGCACTATATAGGCCATTGATCCATCTAGTCTGAGGTTCCCCACAGCAGTAATTCTCATGCTTTCGTATTTTAAGTCCCACTGGTCTATCAAAGAGTTTAGAAGGTCCTTTCTTCAGAGAAATATATGTTTACGGGTATTATTGTACTTCCCAGTTGTGGATAATTTATAGAAAGTTTTAGGAACATAATTTTGATAATACTACTGCAGCTTTAATCAGTGCTTCTTAAACCTTTTGCTCTCAGGACCCCTCTCCACTTTTAAAAATTATGGAGGAATAAAAGA